GGATTTCCACCGAGAATGGATATGCTAAGAGAAATGGCAAATGTTCTTGCCCAGCAGAGAGCTGAGTACAAAGGAGACCCCAAATTAGCTTTTTTGGGCAAGAACTGGATAACACGCTTCTTGAATCGCCATCCTCAACTTGCTGGAAAGTTTAGTTCGCAAATCGATCGGCAAAGAGTCTTTGCCAATAACCCTGTTACCCTTCGCGATTACTACAACAAGCTTCAGACACTGCTCCGAAAGCACCATTTCTTGCCAGAGAATATCTGGAATATGGACGAAAAAGGATTTATCCTTGGCTTTTCTTCTTGAGCAAAAGTGATCTGCAGGGCTGCAAGACGCAATCCACATGTGGCGCAAGATGGATCCCGGGAGATGTTGACAGTATTGGAATCAGTCTTGGCGGTTGGAATGGCCCTTCCCCCCTTTGTTGTTTATAAAGGAAAAGGTCACTATATGGGTTGGCATCTTGAAACCGATGATCCGAAGGCTCGGTTTGCGTATAGCAAGAATGGGTGGATGGATGATCAGCTAGGACTTGCCTGGTTGTGTGAGCACTTTGAGCCTAAGACCTATACCCAGCACCCCCGGTTACTTATCCTTGATGGGCATGGGTCACATATTACATGGCAGTTCTGTCAGTTTGCCTTAGAGAGCAATATTCAGATTATCTGCCTCCCTGCTCACTCTACCCACTTGCTTCAGCCACTAGATGTTGGCATTTTTAGTCCTCTCCAACACTACTATGGAAAGGCGGCTGATACTCACATGCGGGATACTCGAACTGGGGTAAAAAAAGGAACATTCTGGACATTCTATACTGAAGCTCATGCTCTTACCTTCCTGCCTAAAACAATTCAATCTGCTTTTCGGGCAATGGGTATAGTTCCTTTTAATCCTAATAAAGTGTTAGTAAAGGTGACAAAGGTCACTAAAACTACTACTCCTAATTGCCCCACCACAATTTTTACCACCCCTCGCAACCACCACCAACTCCGCCAGCAAGCCTTAGCAGCTACAAGCTTTTTTCCCTTATCACCAAAAAGCTCTCGTGAATCCTATCTTGCAGTTGTGCTCCGCTTGGCAGATCTTACAGAGTGTGCACTTACAGAAGTGGAAATTGCAAAAGCTGAGACACAACAGCTACAGGAAGGTTATGAGGGCAAGCGGACCATTAAAGCAGATCGCCGAGTACTTTCTAAGGCACGGATCATCACTGGAGAGGATATTATTCGTCTTCAGGAGGAGAGGAAGGCCCAAGAGTTAAGAAAGCCAAATCAGCGGTCTACCAAAAAAAAAAAAAGTTCCTTCACCTCCTTCAACTCCAGCAGCTTCTTCTTCTGGTCGTTCAGCACCCCGGGTCCAAATTCTGGATTCTCCAGAAGTCATTGAGCTTCATGGTACCTCTTCCGAGTCAGAGGATGGTTATAAATCCTCAAATCTTTCTGACACTCCCGCTCCCACCCCTTCTCACCATCTAATACTCTCTCCTCGACTCTCAACTCCTGCAAACCCTAATCGTAGGCTTCCTGACCGTCCATTAGAGATGCGCCTCCGCTCCCACCGTTAATCTTTTCCTTATACTTCCCTCTTTTGTTACCGGCCTCTCTCTACCCCTCCTCTCCCTTTTTCTTTTGGTATGTTTTCACTCTCACCTTTCCTATATACTATTTTAAGCTAATCACCTATCTAGTTACATTTACTGGGTTTTTTCTTTTTATTTTCATATTTTTCTGGAGTCAAATTGTTAGGTTTTCATAATATACGATTGATAGAATGGTTGAATTGAGGCTCGCAGTGAGACATCCGGCTTCTCGGTGACATCCGGTATCCCTGTGGGATACGTTAAGGTTAAGGTTGCTTGCGAGGGGAATTGCGGAGATGGATATAATGAGATGTTTGTTGATGATGTTACTATCACACCGGGTTGAGGGGAGGTTATACTTTTACTAGGGGGGGAGAGTGTCTTAAGAAGGCATTCTTGTAATGTTTTGCTGTATTGAGTTAATTTTTTGATAATAAAGTAATGGTGATTTAATTGTACGATTGGTCCCTTTCGTTTCTTAACTGTTAATACTTGCGCGCAAATTAAGTTTTGGTGTCAGGTGTTGATCAACGAAAAAACACACCAAAATCCAAGGCCCGTTGCACCATAACTTAGTTTGCGCGCAAGTATATTCCAAAATGAATATTTGGACTTGAGTTTTCAGGCTGGAGTTTTCGCCGTAGGATTTCCGTAGTGAATTGAAGTACTGAGTGACTGGTTGTGACCCATGGGACGCTTCGAGTAGAGTAATTCTCCTACCTTATTGATCGGTATCACAACTACACATCTCCTGCGTATTCTTGGCACCCCGCCGGCTTTCAACATTAATTTTTTTCCTTCAGAAAATCAAGCTCCTGGAAAATCTGGCACTTCAAATGGATGAGCTTGATTCCTATAAATGATCAAAAAGCAATCTGGCTATGCACCTTCTCCTGGTCTAGGATTGTCTGTCGGATAGTGAGCCTTCGTGTCATCGCAGACAAAAAGTTACCTGTGAACTGTGACGATTACTGAAGTCTGCGCGGTTTTGAAACAACTTGCGCGTAAGTAATTCGTATACCGTGCCTCCAACCATTTAATTCTGAGACACAATTCCATAATTCGCTCTCTTAATACTGTATGCTTGGCAGTTCCACCAAGAGCCTCTTTTGCCACAAGGGTTACTCCAACTCAAGAGAAGACTTAGAATCGCGTTATGACAACCCTCCACGAACCCTATAGTGTCGAAATATTTCGTGACCTAAGCCTCGCAATCGAGAATTACAATGGCCCGAAAAACTAAAAACCGAAAAGCTCTTGCCGATATAGGAAACATTCCTAGTACCATGGAAGCAAATATGACCAACAAAGATAATAATATCAAACCCTCAAGGAGGAAGTGCAAGAGGTCAGCAACGGAAATTAAACTCGGCGACGGAGTTTCTATGGATACATCCTTGATTACGGTCAAGGAAGAGGCGGATAACAAAGGATACACCACCGTCCGAAGAAGTCTTAGACTTCAAACCAGGAAGCTCGAGCTCGGAGAAGGTACTATAACTTCGATTATATCGACGACAGCTGTGACTCTTGGGAAGCTGAAGGGAGTGGAAAAGAAATTTAGGAAGCAAAAGGTTGGGAAAATCGAGGAGAAGAAAGACAAAAGAATTCCAGCGGGAGTATCTGGACGACCGTGGCCGCCACTTACTGCAGAAAGGTTTGGAATAGTGCAAGAGGAGCTGGCGCATAATCCGGTACATTCCCTCCATTACTTGAGCGCAGTTATATAAAGTAAAAACTAACAAGAAACCACAGTTCCATCTCATAGTCTCTACAATATTCCTCAACCGAACTCGCGGATGTATAAATTCTTAACCTTTGAAACCCTCTTTATCAAATACTAATACATCATAGCCGTTGCAAAACCGTTCCTCTGGAAATGCCTAGAAACTTGGCCCACCCCCGAAACACTTTCTGAAGCCTCCCTCCCGGAATTGACAGCCCTCCTCCAACCCCTAGGGCTCCATAACATCCGTGCAGCCCGCCTAGTCTCTCTGGCCAAAACCTGGATCACCCACCCTCCAATACCGTTCGAGGGCACGGTAAAATACAACTATCCAGCCCGTGACACAATACCATTTCCGCTCCCAGACTACGACGGACCGAAATGGGGTGTTGAGCAAAATTACCGGTGGGAAATCGGGCATTTGCCGGGCGTAGGAGCCTATGCGTTGGATAGTTGGAGAATTTTCTGCTGCGACCAGTTTAGAGGGAATGAGGATAGGGATGAATGGAGACGAGTTGTGCCGAAGGATAAGGAATTGAGGGCTTATTGTCGGTGGAGGTGGGCGAAAGAGGGGATTCGGTGGAGGGAGGAGGCTGATGAGCTTTTAGAGGTTGAGGGGAGGGATTGCTCTAGAGACGGGATTGATGGTAGTTGAGGGCCAAGGCGTACTGTGGACGGTGTATTTTTATGTCTGGTCAGGTAGTATGCTTCTTCCGATATGTATTAATCTACACAACATTATCTTCAAACTAGCTATTAGAGTTGACAAGCTTTTTAGTGCAGCTACGAACTAATACTTATGAGATGCGCAAATATCTCGTAGTGTAAGGTTGTACGAGTGCACTACAGACCACAGAATAGGTGGAATTATATTATTTCATAATCTTATCAAATTAGGGGTGTGCATAATTCAATTCTCAAGAGAATATCAAGTAGAACAGGTCAGAGATGAGACTACCCAATCAAAGCATAAGCATTACTCCCCCCCAGAGAAATCGAACACGAGTAAATATTAATGGGCCATTCTTTTGAAGCTTAGTCCTTTTGATGAAATTCTTTGCAGGCCGCCATAAAACAAAGATACCAGTCGAGAAATATCCGAAAATGGTACGACGCCTCTCGTCCAAGCAGCACCGACTTATATGGTTGCTGCTTTTCCATGCGCAATCCAGTCTAACTCAGTGGAGTAGGGGTCGATACTCTTCCATTATTGCTTGTTAATCACGACTTGGCCACCGCACACACCTATACCGCTCCCCTCTCACAATGCCACCAATACAGTCATGGAAACTAAGTTTCTCGTGAAACGTGAGTTACTCTCTACTCTAAGCTCTAGGCTAAAAGTTGCTCGTGTTGACCATATATTCAATCCCAAGACTTCCACACATATAACTGTTTTTTTTTACAAAAAAAAAAAAAGGCTGGCGTTTAAAATCAACACATAACTCGCCCCTCGGAAACTGGCTACCTAGACACAGATGTGGATGCCTTGGTCTCTGCCTCCTATTAAACATAGACATGAAGACAGGGAGATATTGCCCCCTTGCCTCCCGGGATTATTATAACGGCTTGGTTTGATGTGGTACTGAATCAGTAATTTGGTGGGCTAAAACGCAGTTGAAGGGGAAGCAAATTCATTGCGTAAGGTTTTACGTCCATCCTGAAAGATGAAAGGAAAAAAATAAATCGTGGACCCACCGGGGGTTTAACCCAGGACCTTCTCAAATCATAATCAGATCATTGCAAATGGGGTGTGATACTGTACCGCTACACCATTCACCCGTTGTAATATATAGATTCAATTGGAATATATGACCTAAATTTACAATATTAGCATTCAGTATGTATATCAGGAGCTAAGGTGTTTGATTCCCGCCCCAAAGTGAGTTATTATTGAACGACGCATCATGTGGGACAAGAGGCGTTTGGCCCTGCACCATGGGAACTGGGAGACTCAAGGGCCAATATCTGGGAACTCTATCATGGCTCACAACCTCGAGTTATTCATCCCTTTTTTGCTCTTCAAAGAATGTTGCCCTTTTTTTGAGATGACCAATGATTATCTACATCAGTGATATAACAGCCTATGACAGAAGTTATCCCCCCTCCTCTAAATCTCATAAAAAACTCTCACCCAACAGATGTCGGATTTGACACATTTCTCGTTCATATTCATCATGTATCACCCGTTCTCTCTCTCTCTCTCTCTCTCTCTCCAAGATCAGAATCGTCCGCGGTTCTGAAAAAAAATGAAAAAAAAAAAAGGACTCCAAATTAGTCAGATCGAGTGATAACCAATAATGCAGTGGATAGATAAACTCTAGGTAATAGAGCTGATTCCTGAGTATCGCACTGCCAGAGCATACATCGAGTGTAACCACAAGTGTTCAATTCCAGTCAAGTGCTCACGCCAGATGCATCACTCTACAGTTTCACCACTACTGTAGCCGAACACTTATCTTGTTACGAGGGATAATAAATATCTACAAAAATGCTCATCTCGGGAAAGTCGTACTGTAAATCGAGACGATATTAGGACAGAAATATAACTCAGCGAGGATACGAGATTTCACTTTTGGTTGAAATACTTATTCAAAGATTTGGTTACGAATGATTTTTGTTTTCCATTTTGGACACTCTGATTCATTCTATAGCAAAATTTCAATTTTCCAGGAAAACAGCGTTTCTGTATAGGTGGCGCGCCAAACAGATCCTAAATCTTTCAGAAGTCTAATTAGATCAGCAGCCTAGACAACTTCTATCATGACAGTATAACGTCAGTAGAGCAAATCTCAGTGACCGAGAAGTAGAACACCTCTGTGGTTATCCCATCTGAATTCAGTCTGTGCATCTTGAAACCATAGCTTTTCGGCCGGCTTCGCAAGAGGTCTCAGCTCACCAAAGCCCCCCTCACTGGTTGGTTTCCATTTCTATAAGCTTTGGTTGTAAGTAAAAATATTCCGGGGATAGATCTCAAACCCTCGCTGTATACTGATACATATCCCCCGAGACATGCTTCTAGTCTTGAGGCATCCAGGCTTCAGATCTAATTGCCCCATACAGATTCCCTAACACAGTAGGGCAGCTTCAGTGATTACAGTTCCCTTTATTCGTCCTTGTTGGAATCTCCGCTTACCTGGCCGCCATGAGTTAATCACTGGAAAGTATCCGGAAATTTAGTTCCCGGCCGCTCTGTAAATCAAGGCATTGTAGGGGCCACTAGAAGTTGAGAAAAACATACTGGAATTCTACCTCACGACGACTCCAATAAATAACCCCTATCTGTCTCAATACTAGTCATTGTTTTGCATCTCCCTTAAGTTAGCTACGATCGTAACCAAAAAATTTTAAGCCATTAAATCCTACAAGACCCCCACCTACCACGAAGCATAAATAGTAGGCCGTCGATTCTTTGCCAGTACGGTAGTGATACTTAGATGATTACTATCTCCTGGACTACTAAAACGGTGGAAAATTTTGTGCCACCCCTCTCAGTGTCTGAGACGTAGATGACCAAGGAGTTTTAAGATACTACCTCAGTATTCTTCAGTGATCATCAGCGTTGGTGTGATCATATAGCTAATGTTAGTTATGGTCTGAATTCTGCACATCCGCGAAGTTGTAGTTATTAACAAAAGTTGCTTATTAACCTGTGTCTCAGACACTGAAAAGTGTAGCACAAAATTTTCCACCGTCTCAGCAGTCCAAGAGATAAGATGCTTTTTGCAATTGCTTTCTTTGACTTAGTAACCTATTCGCGAGCCCTGTGCTTAGCTCAATACAGTAAAGCTTCTCCCGCTGGAAACTTGAACGCATGGCTTCGGTGTCGGCAATGTCTCACTATCCATGAAACCTTCTAGATGCGACATAAACTATGGCTGCAATTAAGTATACCGACAGTATGGCGGTGCGTGGTTAACCTAAGAAACTATGGTATTCGAGTGCAAAGAAACGCTATCATAGGTTTTTAGGCCAGATATAATGCTATTTACCGCCTTTGACGTCTAAAGAGATTTGGTAGAAGGTTGGTGAACGATTGGTAATCATCTTGAGACAAAATCATGAACCCCAGCTCAAGCATGACTTCCTCAAGCCGGGTAACATCCCCTACCCTGACCAACCATCTGAAGCCACACATGGATGACCTCATCCAAATTGTGCAACATCAGCCTTGAAACACCGACCCAAAAAACATAGACACAAAATCCATCACGCTGGCTCTCCATCGACAGTTCTGCCATCTCTGCTCTTTACGGTTGCGCATTCGCTCCTCCATCTCCCATCTCACCTTCCTCCTATACCCCAGCATCCGAGTTCGAATACAAAACCGCATCTACCAGCTTATCACTGCTGTCTCAAGCTTTCGTCACCGAAGCTCCCCTGTTGGCCGCGTGAGCCTTCTCCAACGATTCGTTAAGAAAACCCGTTTCTCCCGGAAAGGGAAGGCTGTCGAGAAGAGAACCACGCTAAAAACGAGGGCAGCTACACGACATACCTCTAGATCCATGCAATCTCAAGGAGCTGGAAACAGCTTGGGGAGCTATTATAGATCAATCGCTGGACTAGCAGATCCCCCAGAGGATAACGGGCGGGAAAGGGGAGGAGGGCGGCGGAAACGAATTACCGATTTTTTGAAAAGCGCAAACGAGTTAAGACAGAGCTACACAGCAGGGTATACGAGTAGGTTTGCAGAGTTGGAAGAGGAGCATGTGGACAGTTCGGGGGAGCAAGGGAATTGGCCCGATATTGAGGTTATGAAGAGCGGTGATGAAGAGCTAGTTTTATTCCCATGTTACGCTAGAGAGCGGCCGCCAGGCCCGCAAGGAAAGCCATCCTTTCACATGAACCAAGGGAATGAACAGGATTGGTGGGGTGAAGAGCAGCTTGCCGAAAGGGATGATAGTGTCGTCGATGTCGATGTTCGTGGATGGCTTTTCGCTCCCCACTCTGGTCCATTAAGCAGAAAAAACCGCTCTTTGATCTGGGTTGCCCGGCAACTTTGCGGTCTTCCTGCGCAGGCTCCCCAGACAGCTGGGTCAACACCTCCGGAAGCAGAGGCTGCAAGTAAGACTGTTGCATCCATTGAGACCAAAGGTATAGCCCAAGCAGCAAGCTCAAGCACGGATCGACTATTTGATCTTCAACGCACCAATTCATCAACTACCCTTAGCTCAAACCTATCCCCCTCAAGTATACAAACTGAAGCTCAGCCAGATCCTAGTATGGCACATAACGCCTTAATGTCCCGATTAGCTCCATTCATGCACCGCCCTATCACTTCGACGCCAGTCAATATCTTCTTCTACAATTCCGAAATGTCACAATCTCGCACCCTGCGGACATCCGATACCGGTCACTTCTTCACTCGAGTAGCGCTTCCTTTCATGCCCACTCATGTTAGGGTCCTTGCATCAGAGACCCTCTCTGCCACTGAAGCAATTGTACTTCACCGCGCGGAAGGTGTCTCTGTAATTTCTGACATTGACGACACCGTAAAGCACTCCGCTGTTTCGATGGGCGCTCGTGAAATGTTTCGTAATACATTTACAGCTCCACTGCCCAGTCTCATCATTCAAGGTGTTCCCGGTTGGTATTCGAAGCTTGCAGCGGAACCCTATAATGTTAATTTCCACTATATCTCCAATAGCCCTTGGCAACTATATCCGGTTCTCAAGGAGTTTTTCCAAGAAGCTGGCCTGCCGCCAGGCAGTATGCACCTAAAGCAATACTCGGGGATGCTGCAGGGTATATTCGAACCTGTCGCCGAACGAAAGAAAGGCACCGTGGAGAGAGTCATCCGAGATTCCCCAAACCGAAAATGGGTGCTTGTTGGTGATTCGGGGGAGGCAGATTTAGAAGTTTATACAGAGGTTGTCCAGAAATTCCCTGGAAAAGTGCTTGGTGTTTTCATACGAGATCTCACGAGTACCGATGAAGGAAGAAGCTTCTTCGACGCCAATAGTTCTGGAAATAGCACCTCAGGGCTTTTAATTGAGAAAGAAGCCCATGAAACAAAGCCTCTTCCTCCTCCACCGCCCCCCCCAAGAAGAACAACGACTAGGTCCTCGATACCGGAGGGTGATTTACTTGGATTCAATGATCCACCCCCTATTTCCCGTTCCGAGTCTCAAGCTTCGATGAACAGCAACAGGGCACCCCCTCCTCGTCCCCTAAAGCCCCGTGAGCTCCGAGGGCTACCAAAAAGTCCGTCTTCAGCTTCCTCGCCGGCTACTTCACATATAGAAGTTCCACGGGCACCTTCAACCCCGCCACCGTTACCTCGTCGAACAACAACCGCTACTGAATATCAACCATCGCCCCCCTCTTCTATACAAGCACAAGAAACCCTCCTAAGTAAGAAGGAAGAACTATGGAGAAGGCGGTGGGGACGGGCACAAGATATTTGTGAGGAGCATGGTGTGATCTTGAGAAGATGGAAGGTTGGAAGCGATGTTGAAGCGGAATGCAGAGCAGTAGTGGAAGAAGGTCTTTGGGGACGATAGTGCTGGAAAATTATTTTATCACTTTGTTTCATCCCCCTATTTTCCCCTTTTGTTCTCCCTCAATATTGAGCTGTCTTTTCCTGGATTGACCTTCTCTTGGCGTTGATTAGGCTCCGATTGTGAATGGGTTAGCTTGTGTTAGAATGGCCTATAAATGGTACAAATCGCAAATTCTGTGTTTATTTTCTAACTGCTTGATTGACGGGGGAATAGTCATGAAATCTCAATATATTCTTCAAGACGCCTACGCGTCCTTTTCACCTCCATGGACAACGTTAA